TGGTTTCTGCAGGGGCTGGAAGAGGGAGGATGGTGTTACCATAGAAATTCCAGGGACAGGAGCCTACATAGTCTCAGTGAGGAGGAATCAGACGTGGAGCAGAATGGGAGATGTGTAGAGAAGCCCAGTGGCAGGCACTGACTCACTCTCTCCCAACTGTACCTCTTTACCCACTCACAGTTTGTTCCCAGCATGTAAGCCATAGACCAGATGTTCAATAAAAGCTTATTGAGGGCATGAGGACTAGAAAAGGGATTGGTTGGGGTGTTCATGCCTGTTCTTGTGCCCTATATTCTAGCGGAGAATTGGTAGACCACTGGTTCTCAACATTGGTTGCATGTTGGAATCACATGCAGTGCTTTGGAAAATACTGATGACTGGATCCCACACCTGCAGATAATGATCAAATTGCCCTCAGCAGAGAACTGGGAATGCTCAGAGCCTGCTACATGACTGGGATGTGTAGCAAAGACAGAGGCTGACTGAAGCAGAAGGCCCAGCACTTCCAGGAGCCTGGAGTGATGGCTCAGCCAGAGGCAGCATAAAACATAAAAGACTCTACGAGGACAAGGGTTACTAAACGCCGAGTGCCATTGTTCCAAAGAGATTTCTCCCTAGTCACACATTCTGGAGGCAGATTTCTAATCCTCACAGAGGGAAAAGAGGCTGAGGTCAAAGAGATGGGGTGAGAAGACATCGGCTTCTCCCTTCTAAGTTGGAGGGGACTAGATAGGGCCTTCCGCAGCGTGTCTGCACGACCATTTGAAGTCACACCCTGATGGCTAGCATTCTAAACTGCAGGGTACTGGTGATGCTTACTTAGAGCTCACACCATTCTACAGCTCAAGCCTGCACATGCTCTCTGATTCCAGGAGAAACTCGGAAATGTTTGGACTGTGTCTGCAGCTTGAAGTCACACGCTACTTCACTTTGATCTAGTTCTAACAAAACTCATTTCCTAAAAGCTCAATGGATGGGTTCGCTGCCTTCAAATGTACTCAACTTTTTTATTCTAATTTAACTGATATCTGTCTCTGTCTGTCTGTCTGTCTGTCTGCCTGCCTGCCTGCCTATCATCTATCTATCTATTCTGTATTGGATTGACTACCTCTAAGAGACACTTTTACTTAATTTCTTGAAGCTGAACCAAAACAAATGGAACTTGCATTCCATTTACTGCCTTATTTGCCTCTTTTTTACACCAGGACAGGTGATGTTCCAGGCCAGCTTGAAATCAGCTGTGTAGCCCAAATTGGCCTCCATCTTGCCATATTTCTTCTGTCATTTCCTGGGAGCTAGGGCTACAGTTTGCTTTTATTTTAACACCACATGAGCTTCTCAATAAACACCTTTTGCTGTTGTCTCACAACTTACTGTCAAGCACAAACGTATGTTCACGTGTGACTGATTACGTGTATAGACTTAGATCAATGTTCTGAGAGCAGTTTCCAGATACCTTCTCCTACCACAAGGCCTCCAGAGAAGGTGTGTGTTTATGTAAGACAAGTGGAGCACACCTCCTCCCTAGCCCCCAAAGATTTCAGTTCTTGGGCTGTGTCCTTCATCATTTTGCTATTGTAAGGCTCCTGTGTATGTGGTTAGGGAAGAGTGGTTGCTATGGCAATGCGATCTGACTGAACACCAGAATGCATCTAAAATTGGTAGAAGCGACTTTTTCAAGGTTTCCTCTAAGGATTAATCATTTTCCAAGAATTTTGTCTTTTTCCCCCTTTCCTGACAGAACAGCATTGCCAGAGCGCTCATTCCAGCCTCCCATGTGGGGATCACAGGAGTCAAACATTCCCCACTCACTCTGGGCTCTTTTAACTCGGCTACTTTTCTAGTTCTCCTGTCTATTTGCCCTTGAATCCCTAGTTGAGGGCATGCCCTAAACTTCTCTCTATCCCCTTCTACCTCCTAACATTCTAATCTCTAATGTGCCTTCGTCCCCCCTTCCCCCTTGTTGTTTCTATAGGGCTCCCAAGTCAGGCTGTAGACTAACCTGAATTCCTACTCATACGTCTATGTACTGGACATCTTTCTCAGAAGAATCCTCGCAAGGGGTCCTGGTTCATTCTCCATCTCCTCCCACACTCGACAAGGCTCTCAACCTATGCCTAAATGCAAGGATCACACAAGGACGCCCATCCCTGCTGGGCAGGTCTGAACCATGCAAGGCCAGTTCCAGTCTTCTTAACACCTGTCACATGGAGATGTCATTGTTTGAGTCCCATCTCCTCCCTGGTGAGGACAGGAGCTGCATCTTCCTCTGCGTTGGTTCTTAAGAGCCCGGTACCTGTGTAAGCGGTGCACTATTGCTGCCTCCTCATCCCAGACTGTCTCCATCAGCTCCGGGAGCTCCTGTGTGCCCCATTCAGAGCTCAGTGTTGAGGTACCTCCATTGGCTTCCTTTTGCTCTAGTATGCTGACAGATAACACTTCCCTCACAACTTCCCTCAAATCGGCTTGAGTTCCACACTATAATCTTTCTTTTTCCCCTGGGCATTTTTAAATTTAAATTAGAAACAAGCTTGTTTTACATGGCAATCCCAGTTCCCTCTCCCTCCCCTCCTCCCCTGCCCCCCTCCCGACCGTTTCCAGTGCCCTTTCTGCTCCCCAGGGAGGTGAGGCCTTCCATGGGGGATCTTCAAAGCCTGTCACCACACTGTAATCTTATTACTTGCCTCAGAGTAGATTTCCTGATGTGAGCCTCTCTGTAGTCAGTCTCCAGATCCACGGCCCACACACTGACATGAAAGGATTGATGCTGACTCCATCCCTCCTCATCCTTCTGCTCCTTCTCCCCATCCAGTCCAGACCTCTGCCTACTTCTCTGCCCACCTTGTCCATTTAGACTCTCTGACTTGGCTTTGAGTTCACTCCACTAGCTCTTCTCCTGTGGCTTCAGTTTGGTTCCCTACTCATTTGTTAAAAGACTTTGACTCTCAAGGTGTGATCTCATATAGGGCTATTGTATATCTAAGTGGCTAAATGAGGTCATGCTGGAGGGGCATGCATCCGATTCATTAACACTGTATCCTTATGAAAGGGAGGAATCTGGGCGCGCATGCACACGCTCAAACACACACACACACACACACACACACACACACACACACACCATGCCATGGGAGGAGACTGGGGAAGAGCACGGCTATCAACAAGCTCTACAGTTCCCTCCCATACTGCTTTCCTCTCTTCCCACTCCTGTGCCTTTGTGCACTGTTAGCCAGAAGTACCAGGGCTGCTGTGTTTCTGAGCCTCTGGGCTGTTGTGTTCTGCTGGACAGGGCCCTGCACCCCACAGGACAGACCTTGTCTTTGTGCTTCATTTCACCTCTTGAAGAATAAGTTGAGTTAAATTGAATTCACCCTTGTTCCCAGCCAACACTGCATAGTTTCTGTAAACCCACCAAGGTTGGAAAGGAGAGCAGGGTCCCAGAATGCCACCACCAGACTGACCAGTACACCATGGGCTCCTGCTGATCTCAGGGAGCACATGGAGACACAGGTCATTAGGCTTGGATAAGAACTCAGGGTGTGTCTACTCTTTTGTGTGTGTGCATGTGTGTGTAGGTGTACATATATGTATGTGTGCACATGGAGGCCAGAGGTCAATGTCAAGTATCTTCCTGAGTCACTCTCCACATTTTTAAAAAAAAATCTGAGTCTGTTCCTGAACCAGATCTTGCTGGTTCATCCAGACTGGCTGGCCAGCAGGTACCTCAGATCTTCCTGTCTCTCTTTCTGGTCCTAGGATAACAGACATCTGCCACAGGACCTGGAGTTTTCTTCCCTTTTCACACATGTGCTGGGGATCCAAACTGAGGTCCTCGTGCTAGGTGTCAGGCACCTTACCAATCAAGTCACCCCCCCCCCCAGCCTCTGGTCCAATTCTCTCGTGAGGACATGGAGGTTCAGGGGTGATAAGATGTGACATCACAGGGGTGAGAGGCAGAGTGAGCACTGTTGTGGAACAGTCTTTTTGTACACTTTAATAAAGAGCTAAATGGCCAATAGCTAGGCAGGAAGAGGTTAGGTGGGACTTACACACAGGGAGAGAGCTCTGGGTTGAAGGAGGGCAGAGTTGTCAAGAGAGGCAGGCAGAAACAAGATAAGAAGAAAGGTACTGAGCTATGTAGTAGAACATAGATAAAAACGATGGGTTAATTTAAATTAGTAACAAGCCTAAGTTACCGGCTTGAACATTTATAATTAATAATAAGTCTCTGTGTGGTTATTTGGGAATTGGCTGGTGGGTCAGAAAATTCTGCCCACAGAGCACTTGGTCTGGGTCATCCCTGCTTTGGGCAGGTAACAGTGCTCATAGAGATTTCTGTCTCAACCCCAGCAGATTCCCATCACCCGCCAGGGTCAGGTGTGGCCTATGGGAAACGCAGCTGTGTTCTCTAGCATGAACCCGTATGTCTTCACCGCTGTGACCTGATGCTGAAGTGGTTCCGGGGCACAGCAAACAGGAAGCCAAGAGCCCTAACTGAGAGCCCACACCTTTCCGGAACAAAATTCACAGAGAGCACAAGTAGAACTCAGTCTCTGATTTCAAAACACATGAATGAATGGAAGTCAGTGACCATGGAACATGCTTACCATGCACCCGCTGTCCTTCAAACTGTGCTTAAAGAGGTGACTGGCCTGAGAAAACACTGTGATATTGTTAGGTGGAAAATATAGGCCTGGGAAGAAAGGCGAACTCAGCCAATCACAGCTGTGGGTTCTAAAGGGCTTGCTGAGCGCACCAGTGGTTTTAAAACTGGCCTTATTTTCTCCAGTGTGCACTCCAAATTTTGTAGTGAGTATGGATTATTTGTGAGAGCCTATGAGTGATTATACCTTGAGACTGAAATTTCGAATTCTGTGTTTATCAAGTGATTATAGCTGTCGAACCTCATTCTCCATGGTTTTGCAATAACCCTGCCCTCTGGGACTCATCTCCCAGAAGAGAGGAAGCCCCACCCCATGTCTGTTAATGCGAGAACTTACATTCGGAGTATTTCTGGAGTTGATCAAATTCTTCTGATGAGAGGGAGACCCATCGTCCTTCACTCATCTTTCAGCTGAGTGTGGTCAACCGAACCCAGGGGTGGAGTTCTGTTCACCAGGGAGAAGTCGAGGCCGGGCTCAGGGTCTGGCTCATTGCAGATATGCAATGGATCAGGTCTTCAGAAGACTTCTAGAGCACTCAAGTGTTGATCTGGGCAGCGCTCGAAGCTGACAAAAGACTTCTTGTATTCCTCAGGCAACATACGCCTGCTGTAGTCCAGGTAAATCCAGAAATCCTGGCAATTCCTGAATGCAAGCAGAGAAACCTTTGTAAATAAGGCACAAGCTGGCGGTGGGGTGGGGAATCCCAGCATGCTTTTCTGTTGAAAGAGAGAAATGATTCAGTATTTCTTGAGGATGTAGTCTACCTTCAGGGAGGTCTGAAGAGGGAACAAAAGCCAGCACACGGCAGCCCTGCTCCATTGTCCTGCTGAATGGCAGAGGGGACACTGGCCTGTGTGATAGGATGGTCATGCTTCTCATACTGGGGATGTCTTCCACAAATGGTGCTATTAGGTTCCCAGAGGCACAGAATGAAAATGATCCCGGTTGTTATATGGCTCCAGAATCCTACTGGTACAGTAACCTATGCAACTGGTTTGAAAGAAGATCCTTCCCAACTTTGTTGATGTCTAAATCTCACTACACGGCTTCAACTTTGCACTGGTGGGCTGTAGGAAGAAAACACTGCCGCCATTAGCCATGTGACTTACTAGAGGCGCATACACCCACTTTAGGCATGACCAAAGATGTATACAGACCGACGTAAAAATGTATACAGACGTAGGCGGTGAACTACGTCACTAGCCAGGCCCACTTTTGGGCATGGCTAGGGGCGTTACGGGGGAAGGTATAAAAGACTGAACAACGGAAGTCTTGGTCTATTTTTCCGGCTTTCGGCTTCCAGTTCGGCGGCGGAAAACTACTCGGCTCATCTGGGTTACTTGTTTGGTCTCTTGTGAGTAATTTCTACAATAAATACTTAGTTTTACTTTCAGTAAGTGTGCCGTTTATTGTTGCAGCATCAGTGGGCCACCATGGAAATTCAGATAAGCTCTAGGCCAGCAGCCTGTAGTGTGAGAGCAGTTCCCAGAGCCACTGAAAGGCTTTTAGGGAAGGACCTGTCAGCCTCTAGGTACAGGTTCTGGGGCAAAGGAAGGTGGAGAGACAAGAACACGGGGGTCTTTTCCTTTGACTTTTTTTTTTTTTTTGGTTTTACGAGACAGGGTTTCTCTGTTTTGGAGGCTGTCCGTCCAGCCTGGCCTCGAACTTACAGAGATCCACCTGCCTCTGCCTCCCGAGTGCTGGGATTAAAGGAGTGCGTTGATCTTTTTGTGTCCCAGTGTGTTTAATTAAATCGGTTTTGCAAGTGACAAAATTAATGTAGTGGGCCAGGGCCAGCATTTAAAGAATGAAACAGATTAGGATGGAATCACAAGTGCTTTCACTATAGTAAGCTGTGTTTCCTGAGACTGTCCTTTAAATTATATTTGCATAAATTTGCATATTTTGTTCTGGGTCAGGGATAGAAATGGGTTGGTAAAACTTTGGCATAATAGGAGGATATGGAAAGAAACTGGCTCTAATGTTACAGAAGAATAGAGCAGAGTGCTAATACCATAGGATCTACTCTAGGGCCAACTTCAAGGTCAGTCTGAGGAGGCCCAAGTGGATTAGCAATACAGGAAGGAGGTCCCAGAAGGGAGACACATGTAAGATTCTCTACCATAGTGTGTAGTCATGGCTGGTGCAGGCCTGCCTGAGAGGGTTCAACTATTCCCAGGGAGTGAGGTGCCAGTATCTCTGGAGGTGTTCATGGTGATCTCTGTCTTCCAAGAAGGCCAATGTCTCCTTAACCTACTGGCAATCTAGATTTGTTTTCAATATCTGCTCTTCTGAAGGTCACAAGTTCAAAACCCACAGGTCCTTCTCAGTCCCTCTGAGCTCTGTTCTCTCTGTTGCATCCTGTTTCCTGCAGGAAACCCTTGCCTTGAACCTTACATGTCTTCCTGAGAGTTCCTGGCCGCAGTCTCTTTCATCGTCTTTTGCCATCTCTAAGCAGTTGCATCTCTTCAGCCTGCCTCCATTCCCCAGGGACCTCTTGCACAGCTCTCGTCACTCCGCAGCCCTGAGCCCTATCCTCGGTCCAGATCTGAATTGTCATCCTGTTCTCAGGTATGACTGTCCAACCATCTCTTGAGACCCTTCAACGTTCTGAATTACCTTAGACTCCTGCTTCTCATCTGTGCTGCAATCACTCAAAAGACTCACCTCACAGGCCGCAGGCTGAGGCCCAGCCTAAGCTCACCACCTTCCCTCCTGTCAAACCCAGCAGCCGTCCTGGACTGTGCTGTCTGTCCATCCCCTGCTGATCCTCCCTTTACCAATTTTCGCTCTTCTCCTGCTCTGCTTTTTCCCATGGCCAACCAGATCACATCTCTCCTGCTAGTAAAATCCTTTAGTGTGTTCTATTGCCTACACAAGAATCTTTTCTGTGATGTCTTGCACGATGATGAAACCGTCTAAGACATGAGCTCTCAGAACTGGTCCCCATAATTAAGTGACATGTGGCAATGTTGCTGTTGCTATTTAATAGAGGAGAAAAATAAAACTAAGTGCTTAGTAAAGAGGGCGAAACAAACAAAACGGAACCACTGACGTGTCTGTTTAAGAATGCCTCTGTGAGAGAGCCCTATGTGGTAGTCCACGTCTAGAGTCCCAGGATCCAGAGGCGAGGGCAGGAGTGTGAGTGTAAGGCTAAACCCTGACTCAGACAACACAGAATAGAGGCAAAGCATGTCTCTGTGGCTCCAGTACTGGGCACACCCAAGGAGCACAGAACTCTAAGAGGACTCAGAGCCACGTAGCAAGTTAGATCAATGCTGACTGCAAAATCAGAAGGACTCTGGCTCTCGGCTCTGCCTCTCATTGACTGTTTGACAACTTTCTAGGTGATTTTCTCATTTCTTGAATTTTTTTTTCCTCTAGAAAATGAGGATACTACTGGGAAATACGTATCTGATGTTATGATTGGGTCAATATATGTACAACCCTCCCCTCTAGCACAATGTCTGCAATGCAGTGATAGTCACCAGAAATGACAGTTCTCAACACCTGGTATGAAAGGGAGGGTAAATGCTGGAGCTGACGGGGCAGTAGACTTGCCTCGGCCGGAGACAGCATTTGTTGCCAATCCCGATGATGCAGGAGGAGAGAACCAACACTCAGTTGTCCTCGTGGCTTCCGCCCATGCATATGCACACAATCACTACGAAAATGTAAAAGAAAATTAAAAGGAAGTTTGAATGGAGGTATCTTTCATGGATACTGCTCCCAGAAGTCATAGGTTATTAGGGAATAGCCAGTGCCAGGTGTGGGGTACCACTTCCTTATTATGCATTACTGGCCAGGGAGGGGACAGAAGCCCCCCAGACAATCTAGGCCATCACCCTTTCTCTTGGCTGTCTACCAGAACCAGAGCCTCATTTCTGAAGTCACCACATACTTTGGTTGCAGAACATAAAGGAATCAATCTAGAATTGAGTCAGGAGCTTTTCTTCTGATGGATAGCTTCTGTAGAGCCAGAAGGTGCTATGTAGGCCTCTGTGGGAGAACTGATACCAGATGCTCTCTGGTCTTGTGGACTGCACAAACACCATGCCAGGCAAGATGTGCCCAATGGTGCAATAGTGGTACAGCTAGTATGGGGAGAACCAACGGCTCCCTGATTGGATTTCAGGCCTGGCCCCCAAGACAGAACTCATGCCCAGTACTATAAACCTGGTCAAAAGCCCATGGCTGGGGAGCTCACATCTTCTAGTAGGGAACCTACTTCTGTTGTTTTGTTAAATTGACATGTTGTCAAGCTACCTTCTAAATATTTGCGTTTATAACCATATGTTAGTGCTAGATGAAGGGGCTATTGGCAGTTAAAGGTGACTGGGGGAGGGAAAGCCATTTGCTTCACTGGTGTCTTTTCTGGCAGGTAGCCCATGCTCCAGTAAATAATGCTCCACCTATGTCATTCAATCAAGTCTAATTAAACCCACTGGTCCTAAGGAAAAAAATAGTCATGAAAGCAAGAGGGAGAGTTGTTGGGATGCTACAAAGGACATAGGAAGAGATATGACAGGGTACTCTGATCAAATTGCATTATGTAAAGGTGTGAAATTGTCAATGAATAAATACATAAATCTATGGAAGGTTTTCACTCTGTTGCAGATGTGGCACTTAGCAATCTGGCCCAAGGATCAGCTGAGAGCAGTTGGAAGAAGGTTTCCAGTATGCCTCAGGTTTCTGAACTTGATCTCACCCTGCTCCAGGTTATTGTAATCTTGTAAGTACTCATCAAAATTTTATCCACCGGTTTCAGCACTCACTGGTGACTCTGAATAAATGATTATGAGGATAATTGCTTTACAATTTAGTCATTCATTTTATATTAACCAACAGTTTATAGAAGGAGGAGTGGCCTTACCTGATACTTTATTTATGTCATCATATACAACAGCAGATGTATGAATTTATTTATATCAGTGCATATAGTATTTACATATGCTATATATTAATGTATACCACAGTATATATTTATACACTAATGTATGAATAAACATAACATATAAATACATTTGTATAAGTAGTAAATAATTACGCATTAAGTCTCAATGCACATTGAATTAGAACATAATATTTTAAATTATTTAATTAATAATTAAATAAAAACCACAGGTACTTATTTAACTCTGTGGGTTCATTTGTTTGGGTTCTCAAATTGTCCCAGATTTGAACAGTAGAAATGCATTTCAAGTGTTTCCTGTTTTAAAACATTTGTCTATATTCTTTGAGTCCATTTTAGTTTCTGGTGCTATAAAATTTTCTAGTTCATCTTGATTTCATCAGCCCCAGTTCTCCATGGAGCCCCGATTTGTTTAAGTGGAGGATATTTGAAAGCAATGTTTGGACCATAAGTATGCTCGTTGAGGTTTGTTCTTGTTTCTCAGTTGTATCAAAGCAGAGCTAGTAAATACATGCGTGTCTATACATTTGTCTATCTGGTCCTTGTTAGCTATTTTTTAAAAAATAAACTTGAGACAAGTTATAGTTATCTGGAAAGGGAATCTCGATTAAGAAAAGTCCTTACCAGATTGGCCGATGGGACATTTTCTTGATTAACAATTGATGTGGGAGGACTCAGCCCACTGTAGGCTTTGCTGCCTCCAACAAGTGGTCCTAGGCTGTATAAGAAA